CTTACAGCTGCAATGACAGCATCACTGTCTGGAAAATGTTGCCCATGTAGTCCATCTTTCGTAGGCTCAAAGAGATGGAAGTCTGAAGGTGCTAAACTGGGGCTATAAGGTGGATGTGGTAGGACAGTCCAGTCAAACTTTACAATGGGCGCGGTGGTCGCCAAACTAGTATGGAGTCTAGCGTTATCGTGTTGCAAGCGAAAGGTTGTCTGCTTCTCTGGCCTGACTCGGGAAATGCGGGCTTTCAGCTTAGTCAGCGTCGTCTTGTAGCGTTCAGAATTGACAGTCTCACCAGGCTCCGGGAAATCCAAGAAAATCACACCCCGTCTATCCCAAAAGACCGTGCACATCATTTTCCCTGCCGATGGCTGGGTCTTGAACTTCTTTTTTCTTGGGGAATCCGGATGTCGCCACTCCATGGACTGTCTTTTGGATTCCGGCTCATAGTGGTGACACCACGTCTCATCTCCGGTGACAATGCTATCCAGAAACTTGTCACCTTCAGCCTCAAACTGGTGCAACAGGTCCTGACAGACTTCAATTCGATGAGTTTTGTGGTCCTGTGTAAGCATCCGCGGGACACACCTGGAACAAACTTCGAGATAATCCAGCCTCCCCAACATCGTTTTCAATGCATTACAGCCTATATTAAGCCGTGCACACAGTTCTCTGCTCGTTATCTGCCGATCTGTACGGATGAGGCTCTGTTCATTGTGAGGAGTGGCATCTGAGCAGGGACGCTCAGGGCGTGGCTTGTCGTGCACTTCACTTTCGCCACTGTTGAAACGCACTACCCACCGAATCACTGTGCTGACTTCCACTGTATTGTCTCCGTACACCTTTAGCAAGTGCCGATGGATGTCAATGAGTACAATTTGCTCGGCAGTGAGAAATTCAATAACACATCTCTGTTTCATACGCACTTCTATGTCAGACACCATTTTGGTAGACTGCTCTGCTGTCGCTATCTGTCGCACGACAACCAAACTAACAGTACATTGACGGGAAGGTTCAACCTTTACTACAGCACCACCAACATCCATCTCAGACATTACATATTAACACAAAAAAAATAGGAGGCATTATTTACGGAACGCCCGTCGTATATTTCTGTATCAAAATACAAGTTATATTTAATGGGAGTAAAGACGGCTAGAAAGGGCAGAATTGGTACCGAACCAGCAGGCGAATATACATTTTTCTATGGATATTGGAATGACAATCATGAATTAGGTACAGGTTTTTACATAAGAGAAATATATAAGCAGTTAAGCTGGTAAAGTTTGTTAATGATAGGGTGTAGTACATAATATTAAGAAGTCGCTGGCATAATATAATTGCTCTGAATGTTCATACCCCAGCAGAGGATAAAATTGATGATATGAAAACAGCTTCTACGAGTAACTAGGGAACTAGGGCATATATTCGAAAAATTCCCTAAATACCACATGACAATTTTGTTAGGAGAGTTCAATGCCAAAGTATGCGGAGAAGACACTTTCAAACCAACAAGTGATAATGAATTTTTACACGAAATTAGTAATGGTAATAGAGATACAGTAGTAAAATTTGCCACATCCAAATATCTGGCTCTCAAAAGTACCATGTCCCACATCGTAACATTCATAAATTTACTTGGACATCTCGTGATGGAAAGACTCAGTCACATGGACCATATTTTGAAAGACAGGAGACGGCATTCAAATGTACATGATGTGCAACCTTTCAGGGCAGCAGATTGTGATATCGGCCACTATCTGGCAATAGAAAAATTTAGGGAAATTCTGAAAACGAATGAAAAAACACGCGGATTTCGTATGGAGATGTTCAATCTGAAGAAATTAAAAGCGGTGCAAGGTAAAGCCGATCATAGTGGACGGTATAGAACGGCCTGTAAGCCGGACGACCGAGATTAGATTCCCGAAAGGGTCATGATTTTTCTCTTTTCGACAGCGCCCAGAACGACTCTGGGGTTCACACAACTTCCTATATAATGGGCACTGGGGTAAAGCGACCGGGGCATGAAGCTGAACACACCTCCATTTAATGCCGAGGTCAAGTATGATGGAGCTATACCTCCATTTTCTCACATATCTTATTGGTACAGTGTTTAATTAATTAATAACAGGGACAGATTTACATTTATAGGTGCTATGAAATGTAATTTTGTTGGCATGAAAGCTACAGCCTGAGGCTATATTCCAATATGTTGTAGGTACTACCTCGGAACGCAGGAGTCCAAACCGGGGCAGCGTCACCTCTACAAGGTGCACGACCCCGCGACGGACGATCCGAGGCGCCTGCAACCGCAATGCGTGACTTGCGATCTGGGAGAATTGCTATGGAGCAGTCGCTACTGGTACACCAACTGCACACACTTTACGGCGTCAGTGTCGCCTGGCAACGTGTCGGGTAGCATGTCGTATTACGTGTTGGAGTGTGAGGGTCCCGGCCTGCCACTAGCAGGAGTGCACTCGGCTGGGACACATCGACTGCTGAGGATTCTGTACAACACGCGGCCCCAACGCACACCCGTGCTCAAGGATCTCGCCCTCCCAAAAATGAGCAGCTTTGAGGTGCCTTTGTCACAGGGCTTCAGAGCTCAGGTTCAGCTACTGCTGCCGCCCAGCTGGAGAGAGGAACTCAGAGATGCTGCTTTCCCAGTGCTCGTGGAAGTGTAAGTGCCTCTCCGACATTAAGAGGTCGCTCCTTGGTACAGTGTCTCCCTGGCGATAATAAGATTCTTTTCACATATAAGCTTCCTTGATTATTGAGAAATTCACTTGAACTGCATCTTCAGATCTTCACAGTGCTTGGAAATCTTGAGCGTTCACCTTCAGATACCGGCCACAAGGCTTTCTATATTCTCTGTGTCACTTGCTGTTAATGATACTCATGAATATCAGGGCTTCTCGGGTTGTCAGTGTTTTATACTCTGAATAGAGCCTCTGGAAACTCACTGTACCATCAAGAACAATCTTTTAAGTGTTCCTTTCTGTTAACAGAAGTTTATGATGTGCGGTTCATTCCAATGACCACTCTGATCTCGAAAGATTTTGTTAGAACGCACTGATACCAGCCCAAGTATACCTCACGATAAATAGCTTTTAAAATACAAACTTCCTATTGTTCTTCTTGAAGTGTGACATTTCCCTGTCCGGCTAAGAAAGAATTTTCCCCTCTTCGTGGAAACTAGAGGTTGATTATCATATTCAGAACTGCACGTTATTCGACTCTATCCTGTGGTATATTAAGCTAGTCACAGCCTCGCACTGTATTCCCTTATCACCATTCTATTATTTGCGTCCATGTTTCCCAAATGGTTTCTTCGTATAATGTTCTCAAACCAGAACTTTCTATACAACTTTCATCTTTCCCATGTACGTCATATGCTTAAATTGATTCACTGTTGTTGTTATTATTGTCGTTACTACCACTATACTACTACTACTACCCCCATACTACCGTAAGATTTAAGGCGTAATCTCAGTACCATTGAAGTGCACCATACCAGTAGCTGACTTCTGTCTCAGGAACGGGCGGCCGGGAAGCCAGGCAGTCAGTGAGAAGTTCTCGATCGACTGGGGTACCTACATGTCCAGCCACAACGATGTCGTTTACGTCAAGCTTGACGTACGCGGCTCCAGAGGGCAGGGCTCTCGATCATTGTACCGACGCCTGGGAGGCGTCGAAGTGCAAGACCAGATCACCGTCCTCAGGTCAGCCACTGAACTACCATGAATCCTTACAGGAATGTTGCGTAGAGAAAGCAAGTATGGCTGATATATTAAATCCATAGTGTGCACCGCACTCATGTTAACTCTGTTAACTCCAGAAGTATTTTGGGTGGGGGGACTCTCCCAAACAAATAAGATAAAATTAACTTCTGTGGTTTTAAGAGCTCATGGCAATGATCTACTATCGTTCTGACATATTATTTGAACGTTATTTGAAGGTAAACCACACTGTAGGTACAAAATATTTTTCGACGTTTCGGAGGCTGGTTATATCTCCATCTTTATTCACTAGGAGAGGAATATGCTCTATGTTTCACTAAAGAAGGCTGTTCATTGTTGCTTGTAGAAGTGAATTATGGCCTATATTTTTAATTTTCTTACACAAGCTTTAATAATTTAAAGGCATTAGGGCCAAATGAATATGTGTTAATATATTTTGCAGGTATCTGCTGGACAATTATAAGTTCCTAGACGAGACGAGGGTAGGGGTATGGGGCTGGGGGTATGGCGGCTACGTCACGGCCATGCTCCTTGGCTCCCAGCAAAATATTTTCAAATGCGGCATCGCCGTGTCTCCAATAGCTGACTGGCTGTATTACAGTAAGTGAAGTTCCCAATACAGACTGCTGATACCTGGACATCTGGGCAATTCTTTCCATATCTTGCAAGCCTCCTTCAAGGCCGCGCCATAGCTCAAGCGGTTAGTCTCTGGCTTCCCACCTCGGCGGCCCGGCTTCGATCCCCGGTCTGGTCAAGTGGGCTTTGTGGTGGACAAAGTGGCTCTGGGGCAAGTTTTCTCCGAGTACTTCGGTTTCCCCTACCAATCTTCATTCCACCAATTGCTCCACAATCACCCTCACCTATNGAAAATCTGCCCCAGCACCACTTTGTCCACCACAAAGCCCACTTGACCAGACCCGGGCCGCCGTGGTGGGAAGCCAGCGACTAACCGCTTGAGCTATGGCGCGGCCAAAACCATATCATGGTAGTGGACCTATGTTTCAGAATTTGTTACTAATACCTGCCAAATACAAGACCAGTGTCATGATGACTAATGTTCACTTATGTAACTTGATGTTAAAATGAGGCAGCTCATGAGAACCGTAGCATGAAATAGTAACTTTACATTAAAAAGCGTATTACGTGTTATACTGACATTGCAAATTGCTTACAAGTGTCATTAACATTAGCGAAACGAACCCATATATTGGGATTGGGCTTCAGTGGGTTTCAGTTGACTATTTTCAGAGAACGAACCCCACTGCAAATACGTTAGAGATTTGAGCGAAGAGAAAACAAATACAAATTATCAATACGGTACGTCGGGATTAATTGGAACATTTCGAAATGTTGGTGAAAGAAAGTGATGAAAATTTATTATATGTATTAAATTCTTGGACACTGTTCATCGTCCTGTTTGTATCCAAAACAAAGTCCTGTTTATATTTAAAAACAACGTTTCGGAGATTCGATTCTCTCTCCCAAACGTTGTTTTGGATAAAAACAGGACTAAGGATGATGTCCTGAATCACAATATTTGTGCTAATGTGGCATCGTCACAAACTTAGAGATCTTATTGTTACATGTAAGAAAATAAACTTAAAGCCCCAATTATGCTTGTAGGGTAAGAAACTGTAACATATTATGCTTAGTATGCAACACAGAATTCTTAAAATTAAAAGAACTCAGAAGTCACAAATCTGAAAACTGGAGAAATGCGGGGATTATAATGATATTTCAGTTACTGCAATTTGAGTTTACATGTATTTAAGCAACGGCAGGAGCCTCCGGTCCACAGGCCACTATAACAGGCGACAGGACAACAACAGAACCAGATCCCATAGTTGCAGCACTGTTGGGAACGTGGTTGCCTTCAATCATTGTGCAGGAAATTTAGCGGGTTTGCGAGATCAAAAACTAAGGATAGCCGCATTTCCTCATCATGAAAACTATCTGTGGTCTCATCATGAAAATATAACGCCTTGGTCCATTATACATGCAGCGGGGCAGTTCTCTTCACGTGTGACACATCTTCTCATAATCTGAGAGGAGAAATCAGACTTGGAGGAAAGCGGATGTTCCCTTACACGTTTTTATCTGGTCAAGAGCTCGTAAATATCTCGACACGAAGAACACAATACTTACCTTGAAAATTCGGCTGCAATGAAACGAATAAAACAATGCACAGCCGTTGCTACTGACAGCTGTGCGGGCACAGAAAGTATCTGCAAACGATTAGGGTTCATATTTGCACCTGATGGCAAAATGTAGGCAAGTTTCGGAACTGTTGTTTCTTTAACTAAAATTAGAATACTGACAGCGTTAAAAAGTGTCAGTTTAATAGACACTATGGCCAGAAACTTTCAGAATCACGTTTGAGCACTCCACATTTGTGCCTAGACAAGAAGATATAGGAGGCCTCTTTTTCCACACCATTGCCACTTCTTGGAGACAGAAATCTTCAGTCGCAACTCAGCTTAATATTTTAGTTTAATAATCGTCAGAGGATCAAAATTTAATTCTCTATTTTATACTCCCACAAGGTCTCGGGTTGGGAAACCGGAAAGCTGGACTTCGATTTCCTGAGAGGCAGAGATTTCTCAGTTATATACAGGGTGATTCACGAAGTTTTACCCCCACTTAGGGAGGGCATTCCTGATGTAATTTGGAACAAAAAATGTTAATATACTACTGCTATCTAACTCATAATTAAAGAGATACAGTAATTTGAAAACCGGCGAGAAATCTTTTTTTCTTTGAATTTCAGTCAAAACAAATTAGAAATACAATACAAACACTTTTTAAATCGTTAATGTTTTAGGAGAGAAGAATTCTAAAACCAAATTTCTTTTTCCAATTTCTTAATTTTGCACTGTGCAACATTTTTCATCGATTTTATGTTACAAAATTACATTATTTTCAGCATCCCATTCTGTAAACATACCAATGATTGCATATCACACCCTTCTATCAATCTGTTTCCTTTAAACTGTAGTGCTTTAGAAGACGACTGGATTTACATAAGATTTTCAAAAATGTCTCCCTGCACGTCAACACAATGCGTCGCACGCGTATGAACCGCTCTGCCTATCTACCTACGCGCAACATTCAAACCGGTCTACCTTATCTGCTGACATAGCTGACTGGAACGTATGGTCGCCCACGCTGAAGCATAGCGCTGCATTCACAATGATGCGTTTCGAAAATCTATTGTTACTCCGTAACTATTGAAAATCGACCACAAGTTTATAAGGAAATTTTGCAGGAAATAACCCCAGGAATATGTACCATAAGCCGGGGTAAAACTTTTTGAATCACCCTGTAGGACTGATTACATTGTAAGCAATTTAGTCACAGAAAAATTAAATGCAGTCGGTTTCTTAAGCAAGATATTTCATTATCAAACAATTCAATGAACAATAAATCAAACATTAAAAGCAGATCAATTGACTGTATATTATAAAACTATTTATTTTACTTTAATATACCATAGAATGTAATTCATTAGGCAATATAAAGACAGAACAATATTCTCATCACCATGCGATTAGATTTTAAGGAACATGGGAAAACGTGTGGATGTTATGGAATTCGTAACGTCTCTTCTAGAATCTTTCAAATGCATTGTTTGTGTCATTTCCTTTCATTCGACATTGGCCAAAATATTATGTGACGTTAATAAACTGTCGTAAAATGAGTTGCGAATCATAACATTTATTTATGTTCTTTCGAAATTACCCTTTTCTCATCTGGAACTGAAGAAGCGTAGTTGTACAGCCATCTAAACCACGACCAGCCTGTATGGTTGTATCTTAACATTATTTTCCGCAGACTCTGCGTTTACGGAGCGTATCCTGGGCGTACCCGGAGAGAATTACAAAGGGTACGTGGAAGCAGACGCGACGCAAAGAGCACAAAACGTTCCAAGCCACTCCATGTACCTGCTGCACGGCTTGGCAGATATTACTGCGCCTTACCAGCACGGTGTCGCCCTCGCGCGGGCGCTCGCAGAAGCTGGGATCATCTTCCGTTATCAGGTGAGAGTGGCCTAGCAACACCTTTACATAGCTCTATACTGGAGTCCGTTGGGGGGGGGGAGGAAGCGTAGTGTGTACCTTGGTCTAACCCATCTTATCTCATTAATTTCCAAGACCTAACAGTTAGTAATGCTTTGGACCGCACCATAGCTCAAGCGGTTAGTCGCTGGCTTCCCACCGCGGCGGCCCGGATTCGATCCTGGGTCTGGTCAAGTGGGATTTGTGGTGGACAAAGTGGCGCTGGGGCGGATGTTCTCCTAGTACTTCGGTTTTCCCTGCCAATCTTCATTCCACCAAATTCTCCATCGTCATAATCACCCGGGGCACGCTACAATAAATCAATCAGTGGCCGCCGTGCCAAGTGGACCCAGTTGGACTCCATCCCCCACTAAGCGAATTAAAAAAATAATTTTAGTAAAGCTTTTGAGATGTAGTAAAATAGCGGACTGGTCTGTTGCAGAGCTATGCAGACGAAGGCCACCTCTTGGCGGGTGTGCTCGAACACGTGTACCGCTCCATGGAAGACTTCTTGCAGGAGTGCCTTAGCCTGGATGAAGAGCAGTCATGAGGCTAAGCCTCCTCTATGTGCACACCAGGGCTTATTCAGACATCTTCCAAACCGGCCGCCTTTGTACATATCTGTTATGTGGGGGCCTACATATATTATGCCTAAAACTGGAACTGATGATCCAATTCGCGATTAGCACTGGAGTGAAATAAAGGTTGCAGACACTCCGAAAATGGTTGTGAATTACGCTAATGAACTAGAAGAAAGGTTGCCAAGATCTTTCTGCTGCTTAAAATATCTGGATTCTAGACGAGCAATAAGGAAACTATAGTCAATAATGGTTGTGAAAGTCGCGTGTGAAGGAATCACATGTGGGTCAATTCCGTGAAGTCAGGATCATCCCTATGATTCATGGAGGGACAAAGAACCCTTATTTAGTATTCATTTGTTTACTTGAAATGACAATAATGTGGGATGTGTGTGAATATGACACAAAATGGAGCTGCGGTTGCGAATAGAAAATGTGGTGTGAAACAGGAGGTGCATGCAAGCATGTGGAAGCTGTAAACCACATTGGGTTACACGGAAACTTCGAGTGCGGGCACAATCAGGGAGATATTAATATTTAAACTGTATGTAGGCCTACTTTACAGTAAGACCGTGAGTGCGTTTTGCATGAGAGATCCACAACAGTGATAAACAAATACGAGAATCTTAGTATCCTGGAACTGTGTTTAACTACAATTCTACAGCTTATTAAATAATTCTCTGATAAACGAGTCAGATATGGGGAATAAAAATAAAATCCGGGGACAAAATTCTGGCTGAAATATTCTTAAGTTGCTATAAAATGTAAGAATCTCGTACAGTATCTTACTAAGAATAATTCTACAACAAATAAAGCAAAATAGGCATTCGCCCCCCGATAATTCGGTTTGATGTACTTCGCATGTAATTTACCAGAACAGTGACTGGTTCTGTGTTTCTGTGTTTCTTATCGATGGAAGTCAGTATCATATTGATTTTAAAAAGAAATTCTGAAATTTCCATCGGTACTGCATTTCGTGGCTGGGTTTGTTTCAGGGAGAGATATGACCATATTCTCATTCTTGGTTACATAAGAAAATACAGCTTTCAAATTTCGAGATGTATATTGAGGTTAGGGAGGGCTTGTTCTAAAAGGTTAAATTCAAAGCTGCCTGCTGGGCAGTGGGTCATTGATCTTTCCGTAGGCGGCCATTTCATTGCTATTACTTCTCTCCATTGCCAGTTGTGTTACCACTGCTCAGACCGTTACAGTGAAGACTGTTGAGAAAAGCAACTGAACAGAACATCATCGGATTTTGTTTCTTTTCTGGAATCCAAAATGTTCTACATCATTCAAAAAATTATTTTCATGCAGAAATCTCTTAACAGACTTAATGGTCGGACATATGGTTGTTTTTCTTTATATAGAATTATAATTTTGAAAATATTACAAGTTCAAGGATACTATGAAAGAATTTCACTTTTTGCATAAGAAGGTTCACACTCACGGCCTGCTGAGTCAGCTTCTCAAAGAGACAATCCAAGTTCCCAAACCCTTGTAACAATATAGGCTACTTGAACATAAACATATTAAATTAAACGAAACAAAATATTTAGCCTTAAAACACGTAAGATGAGAATACTCTTGCAATACTAACTCTTAAATCACCCGAATCTTTCTTTGCTATTGTACACCCAACGGTTACAAAATGTAATAACCCACTTCGCAGCTTAATTGGACGAAACGAGACATGCATATGAATATAATTCGAGTTGTCCAGAAATTTCGTAACACAACTTGTACGTCTCTTGTGCCAGAACATCTGGACTAGCAAGATAAAGGTAGAAAGAATCATATCTTGTGGCATACAATATCATGAAGTCGGGTGAAAGTCAAAAGACATTCTAGAGGAATATATCGCCTCTGTCTTCAGAGTATAAAATTAAACCAAACACAAAATCGGAAAGAGGCGGGCAGAAAAATGTTTAAGTCTTGCTGACTTCCTGCTTGGCTTGCTACTCAACTCTGAATATAGGAGCGATATTTCCCCCCTGATCTTCGGTTAACTTTAACTGGACTCCAAGGTGTTATATCCCAGAATGTAAAAGTATTCATAGTCACAGTTGAGAGAACCTCAAGTCAAAAAGTATCTAAGCGCTCTTAAAATGCTTGGACTCGGTTCTCAGCTACGACAAAATTAGTCCGACAGAAAACATGCAAAATGCGTAGGCTTGGATCAATTTCGCACTCTACACATCACTAACAACATCCTCGGTTCAGTTACTTTGATGCACACAGAAGTGTAGTGAGATGTATAAATTGGACATGTGTCTGAAATAGTTACATAAACACAATTTAACTAACAGGGGCAGATGATTGGGGCAACATAATAACGTAATATAAGAATTAACGGTGAGTAAATAATTTAAAACAACAATCTCTGCCATTCTCTGAGTTAATTGCTAATAAAACTCCTATGTAAAACAATTTATTTACAAAAGCATCTTCAGTGGCCTTGGATTAAATTTCACATCTACTACATATTATTTTGGCGGAAATATATTCATTTCATTTCTACTGGGGCATTCATTGTTCCTGTAAGAACCATTGTTTCTCGTTTGACGATCTGACGGGGGCCTAAGAAGTTAACCTGTTGTGTTACTAGAAGTAGCATAATAAGTCGTGATGTAGTTTTCTGGAAGCTTTTCCGGGATTCACCCCAGTAGTGATAACAGAAAAAATTAAGTGCATAAAGCACTACACCGATTATACCTACCATGTCCGATGTTTTGGTTAGCTACACGCAAATATATTTTGTTGACAGAAGCAAAAAGGCTGCACCAGGGGCGGCGGGGAATATAAATAAATGAAGGTCAAATGTCTGCACGCTTTAAAATAAAAAAAATTCTGTGGCAGTTTTTGCATATATCCAGTCGTTATATCTGGCACTGAGGGGACTACTCGTATAAATCTGAAAATTTCAACTGCTTGCACTTATGGCCTTAAATATTTATCCATTTTCTTACCAACCACACTGTTACGTAGTTATGCGTAGTTTATACAAAACTGATACTGCAATTGGTACACCTGCTAATTATACTGTAAAAATATCAATTCAATTCTAATGCTTCATGCATATTCAATTTTCCGGTTTTTGGAATACACTGTAATGAAACTTTTAGACGATGGCAAATACCATGTTCGGTGATGCTTTCTGATAGACTAGGAGCAACTAAGAGATTCCGTTTCATGGCCTCTCCTGAGATTTTGTGGTCGTATCAATGTCTGTTGTTTGCTAAGAATGAATCTGATCTAAGCAAAGAGAAAAAAAATCCCATACCAACGGATCTCTTAATCATTCTTAGCAGCTCAAGGTACCGAGCTACGTATCAACTCTAATACTTGCAGAAACTGTTAACATTTCCTCACATAAATAGTGATCAGATAACACACTGTCTGCCTATCCCGGTCACGTGTATATCAAGGGCACTTTTAGCCATTTCCTTCATGCATACTCTAGCAGTTTGTGAACTCAGGTGCAATTAAAACAGAAACGATATTGTATAGACTTGGTGGGAAAGGATGTGCACGACATTCCAAGACATTACGAGGAATGTTAACATACTCAGTTTCTTGCTTGCTCACAGATCGCAGAGCTTTGTCTGAAACATTCGCGCACTGCCACTGTGTGTTGATGGGTCAAGCTTCCCCGCATAAGAAAACCATCATTGTATACCTGCTAAGTTTATTCAAATTTATATGCAACATGTGTTAAAAAGAATATTATTGGAAACATGTTTCAACCCAAAATAAGTTCATCTTCAGGTCCAATACAGCATGTGAAAATCGCTACCACTATATCTAACAGTAAAATTTAAAGTTTTCTCTGTGCTTAATTAATTAGTCAACCACTACGCCATAAAGGCCTATGGAGATTGGATATATAGGTCCACATTTTTGGATCTCCGCAGTAGTTGGAGGTGAGTGGTCAGCTTGACGCACCTGCCGCTTTACCCTCGGTAAGGACCCAGAGCCGGTCTGGACGACGTAGAGAAGAGAAAATTCTTGACCCTATCGGAACTCGAACTCCGACACCTCGGTCGAATCTAACAGTGAAAGACTTAATTAATACAAACTCTCATAAGTAGGGTAAAAGGTCAAAACCTAAAATGTAATAAAATTTCATACGTAACATTTGTTACATAAAATTGCAGAGAAAATAACATTAGAGCCAATACCTTTTTATACTATCTTGACATCTTGCTGTACTGTTCAACTGACGCTTTACGTGTCAGCATTCAATAAGACTACAGATAAAATGAATTATTCATAAAAATGATCTGATGCGGTCTAGACTTAGAACAGATATATACATCTTAAAAGAAATATTTGTCATTTTATATACAAATCATTATGTACACAGGTTTACAAAGTTTTAGAATTTGACCCTTTACTCTTTATATGTGATCTTGAATTGTTCAATCCTTTTAATTTTAAAGTCTATATTACTGTGGTATTTGAGGTTTTCACAGCAGAGACCATGAAAAGGTAAATCTTGTGGAATGTATTGTTGAGTAACCTTCTATAGAATTAGTACTGACATTTCGAACAAAGTTTTGTAAAATCGCTACCAGATAGTAGAGTGCCACATCCCAGAAGACACTGCTCTTCTGTGTTACACTTTTGCAAACAAGAACACATATACATATGAGGCCTGAACATTGCCTTATATGATGTTAAAGCACGTTGCCAATGATATGTTTCAACGTGAAGTGCATGCATTGTTGAAAAACTGTGTGTACAACACTAGTTGTGTTATGTGAAATGTATTACTATTATCTTGTATAAATAAGCTGAGTTGTTTAAACCAGAATTATTCACCAGCTACTAGTAATGTGCATGATAAAGAATCTGGCCTTGGAATTAGACATGAAAGTCAAAGCAGTAACCAAAATAACACCTTAAAAAAATAAAAATCTTGCCAAATTTGGAGGTTCTTTCTGCTTTTTATTGCAACACGAACATTGACTCCGAGAAACTAAGACACAAAACACTCGACAACTGCACTACATCTGTAATTACTGTTGTGATTATATTCTGAATATTTGGAAGACCACTATAGATTCCGTCAGTACTTCGCCATTTTCCTTTTATCGCAAGCATGGACCTTTGAATGTGATCCAAGGCCAGGAGGTCGAAACTACTAATCAAAGTGAAGAGTATTATCTTCTGGGACGTAATGCTATGTAGTCAGTCGAAATTCGGGGGAACATATCGCCTCCATCCTAGTCAAACTGCAATTCTCTTATAATCTTCCTGTTACCTACACGGTCCAGTCTCCAGAACAAGTACGGCACACACTAAAACATTTGCTTATATAACACACACTCCTACCGCAATGAGAACCACTTCATAGAACCCAGATCCACTGAAATTTAGGTTCTGTGTCTAAATGAATGTGAAAGGCTTTGTTCTATGGTTATGAGTTGAATTTTACGCTGAAGCAGACTACAAGTAGCCTCTCTCGCTCAGGACAATCTCTGTAGTATTAGTGAAGGTATGAAATCTATATCACTTACTATTAAAAGGGTGGAAACGCCAACAATATTGTCAGTCCCCCAAAGAAATGTGGCTTCAATGTGGCCGGGTTTCTGATTCTTATTGTTATTATTATTATTTCAACATGGCCCACTCTTTCTAAGAAAGCTTCGAGCAGCACATATTTCAGAAGAGCTTATGTAGAAATTAGATGAGGTATGATCACTAAATAGAAACGGCGCTTATGTACTATGCAAATGGAGCTTTCTCTGTTGTTTATGGCCTTCTCTGACAGGGAGGTTTCAGAAGACAATGCTTATTTGTGATGTGAAGTGAGCTAATGTACTGTAACTCATTGTCAGCAAACTCATTAAGGTTCTGGATGGTGTACAATGGTCATGAGCAGAAACTTTGCCTTTCCTGAGGTTCTATTCTGAAGATTTCAGTGTTTTGTCTTTACTTTAATATTTTCTTTAAATATGGTGCTATGGTTTATGAACTCATAGAATTGGAATATATTGTAACAATAATAATTATCACTGGTGAGAATCTATTGCCGCAAGTTTTGTTTGAATCTAATATGCATAAATATATAAGCCAGATTGTTTGTATAAATGATTGACAATTAGTTTCTCAGTGGTTTTGATTCATGTGCTTGAGGGAAAGCATGAGGTTCGGCAATAGTTTTTGGGAGTGAACAGTAAGGTCTTCTTATTCAATAATTGTAATTTACCTACCTACAGAAATTAACGTATCCATGGGGTTCCAGTTAAATAAGACGGATATGTGACATTTCAATACATTGCCTCACAGCTTAGTGATTCCCTGGGAATAATGTAATTACGTAAATTTTACGATTTTAAATACACGTACATTGTCACTTGTATTACTGACTATAGGGGGAGTTTAGTTTGGTGAATAGATGCATTGACCACATATAGATCGTAACTACCGTACAAATAGCTATAACACTATTGCTGATTTCCACACTAAGTCTTCTCAGTCTACTGTTATTAGTCTTTTCTTGTCAACAGACCTCGGCAATGACTATTCTTCTGCAATGTTTTCACTAGATGTTTCCTGGTAACGAATCTTCAGCTTCCCTTACCCGCTGGTTAACACTCCACATCTGAACTCTTGACTCTCAACTCCTTCACAGAACGGCTCAACTGCACTGCAATCACTCGCTGTACTGAACTCTGTCAGTTGAGTCATATAGCCTAGGAGCGGACCCACACAGAACACAGCTTGCAATACCTCTTCTATTGTTGCGTGACGTCACCGCTACTTGCTTACCCAGTCGCTTCATAGCAACGGCTCTACGCGTCACGTATCGTGACACCTTTTCTGTTGTTGCGTGCGGGCATTACTTAATAACGGCTCTTCTCTGCTTCCATAGTTCTTGCTTTGAGCAAATACTCCACAATATAGAGTCTAATGTTTTCTGGTAATTGCTAGTTTTCTTAGAAGAAGTCAGGTTTTAAATATATTAGAACAACAGGCGAAAATAAAATAGCATTTGTTACAAAGTTCGCAAATACTTCAAACAGCAGTTACTATCGGCAGTTAATTTTACCGAATCTCCTGCTTTGCTGAAAGCTGACTAAAATGCAGCAATTCATCAGAACCATTGCGTGCAGGCCTAGTGATATTGTAATGGTTT